TCTTGACTTACTCGGGGCGTTAGTAAGTATTCAGTACCATGCGTTTTGTTTGTAATGTTAGAATTGTTAAAGTAAAAGTACTTCATACCACTTTTTACAGAAATGGGGTTTTCCCTTCTACAAAAATTTATCCACTGCTTTCACTTTTGGGTAAACGAAAAAAATTGTGTCCTTATTTTTATTTTGACAATTAGCGCAGCCGGACACTGCACAATAAGTCATTTTTTTGTAATGAATATTTTTAAATTAATGTGCCAGTAAGATAATCACGATTGGTTAATGATATAATTAAGTCAATAGTTAACAATGTAAACGTATTTAATTAAAAGTACTACTTGTTACAGTGCCTCAAATGAGTACCAAAATTTGTTGTCCAAGGCTAATCTTTATTACACAGACAATAACAGTAGCTATTTCTAATTTTCAAATTTCGCAGTTGTTTCAAGCCGAATGACGTCACACAAAATGCGCAATGGCGTACCATGTTTTATTGTACCATGGGCACGACACTACCCGAACCCGACCGAGGTCAGGTCAACCAAGGACAAGACGATGACAAACGCTCGATAAAAAGTCATGAGACTCCTAGCTCAAATTTATTGAGGTAGAAGCCCCACTATATAGCTATTACTTTTATTTCAGGAAAACGTTTTTTTTCCAGCGGTCTTGCATCACGGATCCAAAATTCGTTGTTAAATACTCTGCTTGTATGCAGCAAGAGCTTCACTAAATTCTTCATGCGTTGAGAATTTGTCTCCCACACTCATTTCCGTTTTATCGTTAGTAACACTCATCAACTACTAGGACCGTAGCGTATACTTATGCCACTTTTTGAGGTTAGGCACTTCGCCAGCAACTGTTTGTTCGTCTGAAAAAAACCGGCGTTGGCAACGGTTTGACGGATTAACTGGAGCCGGTGGCGGCAGCGAGGCACGGTCTTTTTATTTTATACCAGTCATATCGGCCGTGTAAATAGTAGATAGCATTGTTACATCTTTTTTGTCATGCCATTTTAAACACCTTAGCATTCTTATGGAATGCTGCAGATGTGTCACCTTTTTTTTTAGCTTTTTTTGTGATGGTGGTTGAGAGATTCTTCCTATTTATACGAACTGTTCCTAGAGCGTCTGTTGTCAATTTGCAAAGAACATTGAACAATTCTGATTTTCAATAACTTGTCAGCTAGAGTTCGAACCACTTTTGTAGGTTTTGTCATGTCCGAGGTATTTAGCCAATGAACAGTTGAAGGCTTGTTTTCGCGCCGTTATAAATTATAATCTTCCATGTATACCCTGTATTAGCTTCAGTCTACAAGGCTCCATTCCAAACCTTGCTCTTTTTTTCGAGATACACATCTTCCAAATGAGTCGACCATAATAGTAAACTTTCGTCTATGGACACATCAGGCTCAGGTGTGTACGCTGTCATAAATTAATTGACAAGGTACTTGTTAATTGTTAAGTAGTAGTTGCAATTTGCCGCCTTTGTCGCAACTCAACGCTCCAAAGATGCCGACTTCCTGGCGGAGCGTGTAGTCGGATCTCTTTGGAGCGGCTCCCTTTGGGGCGGCTCGCTCCTTTTGAAGAATTGGCGGCGATCACAGGAGAAGTCGGCCTAACCCCCACTTATTTTTATACTTTGTGTTAATTTTTAATTTTAAGACCAGTAGCGATGTAACCACCGCAAGCGAAACAATAAACCAAGTGTAGCAACACAAGACTTTCATTCTTAGTTCTATGAACACAAAATACGGCTGGAAAAAGCTCCAGTCGTCAACATATGGTCCTTCGAGCCGGATATTGAACGCAGTGTCAATATTCGACATTCGGGAAACGTGCTTGTGCAAGTGCAACGCAGTTTCTCCCAACATCTTCATAATCAACAAATTAATAACCATCACATCGCTACATTACTACGCTACATCCAAGAGTTCTTCTTCATCATCGGCACGTCACCGACACAGGTTTGTGGATCACTACTTTTCTTCTTTACCATATTTCCACACTCTCCTTTGCATGTGCTGTTGTAATTAATATCGTGTTTCATTACAATGGGGGAAATTAAACTTTTGGTTAGAAGACGAGCTGCGATTAAAACTAAATTAACTAACTTTTGCAAATTTATATCGGACCCCGAAAATCAGAACAGAATTGCTGAGATAGAAGAACGAATAAGTGCAATCCAACCTTTGTTAAAAGAATTTGAAAATATCAATTTAGAAATTATAGAAACCGATGAGTCTCATGTTAAAGATGAGGACTCATTCGAGTTCGAAAATAAATATTTTAAGGCCATCAGCGAGGCCAAACAACTTATTCAAAAAAAAGGTATCGAAGTAGACACAGTTGCTCAGGCAAATTCGAATCAAAACAAACCTGATTCTATCTCCATCAAATTGCCTGAAATTTCTATACCGGCTTTCAGTGGTGCATTCACGGAATGGATCAGTTTCAGGGATTGTTACAAATCACTTATCCATGATAATCAAAGTTTAAATCCAGTTCAGAAATTCCATTATTTGCGAGGTAGTTTGACAGGAGATGCACAAAAAACAATTAGTCACTTAGCACCAACCACAGATAATTACTTGTCAGCATGGGATTTACTAACGGAAAGATATGAGAACAAACGAATTATTAGTCAGCATCATATTAGAGCATTATTTTCACTACCACATATCAATTCAAGAGACTCAAAATCCTTACGTTCGTCCTTACAGATCGTTAATTCTAATATCAAGGCTTTAGATGCTATAGGGCGTCCCACAATGCAATGGGATGATTTGCTTGTTTACTTAATTTCTAGTACATTTGACGAGAGTACCACTATCGCTTGGGAAAGTACATTAAATAGTACCATTCCAACTACAAAAAATATTCTCGATTTTCTTACGCAACGATGTCAAATGTTTGAATCTTTCGAACTAAACCGAATGAGCAATAAAATGAATACAAATAGTTCAAACAAACACAAATCTTACCTCCACAATAATCAGTTCAATAATAAATCTGCAAGCCATATTGTAAATGTGTCGCAGACCAATCAGATTACGTGCAACTATTGTAAATTACAACATAATATTTTCAATTGTCAAAGCTTTCTAGGCTTAACCTCTGAACAGAGAATAAGTGAATGCAAAAAACGTAAACTTTGTATTAATTGCTTACGTAGCGGACATAAGGTAGAAAACTGCAATTCGAGCAATTGTAGAAAATGTAACCGTCGCCATAACACACTATTGCATGTAGATCTTAATCAAAATAATTCGCCACAACCCTCCTCGTCATCGATGAGTAATTGCGCTCAAATCTTAAATAAAAATGTTATTTTGTCAACAACACAACTTTTAGCATTTGGTGACGACAAAATTCAGGGTAAGCAATTTCGAGCCTTATTAGACAATGGATCAGTTTCAAACTTTATAACAGAAAGGGCGGTGAAAAAGCTAAATTTGCGCAATATTCATAATATCCAATTGCCTCTCATTGGCATCGGATGCAACTCTTCAGTAATTAATCATGCCGCAACAATTCAAATTGCATCCGTATGTTCGTCATTTAAAGCAACATTAGATTTTTTGATAGTTCCAGAAATAACGGGAAACGTACCCAACTCGTCATTCCCCACTTTACAAAATTTACCCGATAACATAAAATTAGCAGATCCGTTTTACAACTTATCGCAGCCCGTGGAAATTCTTATCGGTAACGAAATATTCTGGAACATAATTTGCATAGGACAAATCCGCATTCACCGACACGGGCCGGTTCTTCAAAAAACACAGTTTGGATGGGTTATTGCGGGAGTATTGAATAATTTCAATACAAACACTTCAACTTCTTGCAATCTTTCAAATACAGATCTTGATGTACACCTCAAAAAATTCTGGGAATTAGAAGAAGTGACAAACATATCCGACCCAGTTTTTCCTGGCGATAATCGCGACCTTTGTGAAAAGGTATTCATCGACACTTTCACGCGAGATTTATACGGCAGATTTCAAGTGAAACTGCCCATCATAAACGAACCTCCGGATTTGGGTTCTTCGAAGGAAATTGCACTAAAATTATTTTATAATCTAGAGAAACGTCTACGAAAAGATCATAATTTGTTTGAACAATATTCAAAATTCATGGCTGATTATTTAGATCTAGGGCACATGACCCAAATAAATTATCCTGACGAATCAGGTTATTTTGTAAGCCACCATCCCGTCTACAACGAATCTTCCCTCACAACTAAATTAAGAGTTGTATTTAATGCATCTTTGAAAACAACTAACCATAAATCAATTAACGAAAATCTTATGGTTGGCCCTAACCTACAGCAAGACTTATTTAGCATTCTAATTCGGTTCCAAATTCACAAAGTTGTAATAACCGCGGACGTAAAAAAGATGTACAGGCAAATATTGGTGCACCCTGATCACCGCAAATACCAACAAATATTTTGGCGTTTTAACTCCACTGATGAGGTAAAGGTTTTTGAATTAAACACAGTGACGTACGGATTTGCGAGTTCATCATATTTGGCAACTAGATGTTTGCAAGAGTTAGCAAATCTCGAAAAACAAAACTTTCCTGAAGCGGCAAATATAATTTTACGGGACTTCTATGTAGATGATTTAATTTACGGGGCAAACGATATTAACCATGCATCTCAAATACTAAACGACATTAAGGGAATTTTAAGCAAGGGCGGGTTTGAACTGCACAAAATTAATTCAAATCATTTACCTTGCATAGACTCCACCTCAACACCGGGAATCATAAACCTTGACAAACAAGCTGCAGCCAAAACATTAGGACTTTTTTGGAACAATTGTAATGATACCATCCAATATTCGATCTGTTTAAAAAATCCTAAATGCCATAAAATAACAAAACGGGGAGTTCTGAGCACCATTGCTCAAATTTTTGATCCATTAGGTTTAGTAGCACCTGTCACAGTGACCGCGAAGATCATAATGCAGAAACTATGGTCACTCAAACTTAATTGAGATGAAAGCTTACCAGCGGAACTACACACTTTGTGGTGCGAATTTTTAAACGCATTTCCGGAATTAACCAATATTTCAATCCCTCGGCATGTAGTTACAAACAAGCATCAAATAGAAATTCATGGTTTTTGCGATTCAAGTCAAAACGCATATGGCGCTTGCGTGTATTTACGTTCCCAGAATCCCAGTGGGAACTATGAAGCACGAATTTTATGCTCAAAAAACCGAGTTGCCCCTTTGCAAACACAAACCATTCCCAGACTTGAACTGTGCGGCGCAGTTCTCTTAGCTAGATTAGTTCATAAAGTTAAGCAAGCCTTGATAAACTTTGATGTCCAGGAGTGTCATTACTGGACTGATTCCACTATTGTGTTAGCATGGATTCGAACGCAGCCTACACTATTAAAACCATTCGTATCACATCGGATATCAGAGATACAGTCCTTAACACCTGAAAATAATTGGCATCACGTTTCATCAGAACAGAATCCTGCGGACATTTTGTCCCGCGGGGATAATCCCCGTCATTTGCAGTCCTTCCAACTTTGGTGGAATGGACCGACCTTTTTAACTAGGACTGATTTACCGTACGAACATTTAAATGATTCGTCACATGTTGATTTGCCGGAACTAAAGTTAACATGTTGTCTTGCGACCAAAAATTCCACCGAATTTCTACTACGTTACTCGGACTTTGATAAATTGTGTAGAATTACTGCCATAATAATGCGATTTATTCAGAATTTGAGAAATAAGGACAATAAAAAATCTGGTCATGTAACAAGCAAAGAAATCATAGAAGCACATAATTTAATAATAAAATTAGTTCAAAAAGAAGCTTTTCAGGATGATATACATCAACTTAAGTTGCATAATCAAATCACGAGTAACAGTAAATTAAAAGGTTTAAATCCGTTTATTGATAATTCTGGTTTTTTAAGAGTTGGTGGTAGACTAAATCATGCTAAAATCAGTAATGATCGCAAGCATCAGTTGTTATTGCCGAGAGACCATTTTGTTACTCGTTTAATAATTGAAAAATATCATAAGGATAACCTTCATATCGGTTGTCAGGGAACCTTGTCTGCAGTACGCTGCAAATATTGGCCCATTTCAGCCAAAAATACAATTCGACGAACAATATTCAAGTGTCTAAAATGTTACCGCTGCAAGCCGGTACCATTCAGTCAATTAATGGGGGATCTTCCTAAAACTCGCGTAACACCTTCACGACCATTTTTTATTACAGGTGTAGACTATGGTGGTCCTTTTATTTTAAAAAATGGACACGGCAGAACCCAAAAAACCATCAAGGGTTATGTCGCTGTTTTTGTTTGCTTCAGCACTCGTGCCGTGCACATCGAGCTCGTATGCGAGTGCTCATCTTTAGCGTTTTTAAATGCATTGAAAAGGTTTATTTCACGCAGAGGTCAACCTCATGAGCTCCATTCTGATAATGGTACTAATTTCGTTGGAGCGAATCGATATCTAAAAGAATTGTTCCAATTATTTCGAACTAAATCTTTCGAAAACGTAGTTCTTAAATCTTTAACGAATATGGGTATTAATTGGCAGTTCATTCCTCCGCACGCTCCACACATGGGTGGGATATGGGAGGCAGCGATAAAATCTGTAAAGGGTCATTTAAGGCGCATTCTAGGCAACGTTCTTCTCAATTACGAAGAAATGAACACGATTTTAATTATGATAGAGGCATGCTTAAATTCCCGACCTATTACTCCACTTTCAAATGATCCAAACGACCTCTCCGCTCTCACCCCTGCTCATTTCCTCATTGGTGGTCCACTGACTGCACCCGCAGAAGAAGACTGTAGCGACATACCTACCAATCGCCTGATTCGCTACCAACTTCTGGAGAAAATTCGCCAAGATTTCTGGAGACGTTGGTCGCGCGAATATCTCCACTCGTTACAACACAGGGCGAAATGGCAACGAGTTCCAGCGCGACAGCCACAAATTGGAGACCTGGTAATAATCTGCGAGGACGGCATCCCACCCCAACAATGGCCTCTTGGTCGTATACAGGAACTGCACCCGGGAAGCGACAATCAGTGCCGCGTAGCAACGGTGAAAACAGTGCGCGGAGTGCATAAAAGGCCTGTAACCAAACTTTGTGCTGTGCCAGTTCAGTGATGAGTGAAAGACTTTACCCATTGACTAGTAACTTAGAGACATTCACTGGGGTGCATGCATGACATTGGTTCTTATTTTTTTTGTTCTTATTTTGTCTGTTTGTTATATGTTTATTTCAATTTACTTATGTGGGCATGTTCATTTTGAAAGATATGTTCTTTCAACGGGGGGAGTTATGTTAATTGTTAAGTAGTAGTTGCAATTTGCCGCCTTTGTCGCAACTCAACGCTCCAAAGATGCCGACTTCCTGGCGGAGCGTGTAGTCGGATCTCTTTGGAGCGGCTCCCTTTGGGGCGGCTCGCTCCTTTTGAAGAATTGGCGGCGATCACAGGAGAAGTCGGCCTAACCCCCACTTATTTTTATACTTTGTGTTAATTTTTAATTTTAAGACCAGTAGCGATGTAACCACCGCAAGCGAAACAATAAACCAAGTGTAGCAACACAAGACTTTCATTCTTAGTTCTATGAACACAAAATACGGCTGGAAAAAGCTCCAGTCGTCAACAGTACTGTAGGACAGGTTTTATTTTATATAACCTGGGATGTACATTTCCTCCCAAAGTATACTACTACCGAAAAAATCGCAACACCAAGAAGTAGTGTTTTTATTTGAACTAAAGGTTGTGGATGTCATTGTCTTAACAAAAGAAATGCACGATAACACTTGCAGTTTAAAATTCGACGAACAACAGTAAAAAATTAAAAATGTGTCGGTCCACCCCTCGCATTTACATATTCTGCAACTCGCCCTGGCATACTTCTAACTAAATTATTGATATCCTCCTGGGATTCCCAGGCAATCTGGACTTCATGTCTAAGCTGAGCTAGAGTCTGTGGACACTGTGGTAATTCACCCAGCCTTCTGCCGATCATGTCCCACACATGTTCAATAGGTGACCAGTCGGGTGAACGAGGAGGCCAAGGAAGAATTTGCACTTGGGCATCTTCTAAGCACCTCAAAGAGACTCGTGATTGCACGGACATTGTCCTGCTGAAAAAGGGCATCTTCGATGATTTGAACAAACGGTATAACAACCGGTTCCAGAATCTCATCAACATATCGTTGAGCTGTCACAGACCCTTGAATCATGACTAAAGGTGACCTGTTGCCGTATGCAATAGCTCCCCAAAGTTCGAGCCACATGCCGTTCCTCAGAAAAAGCAATATTCCTTCGGTCTCCACGCAATCTTCTCACCCTTTGCCCACCGTCGTGCATGCCTAAACAAAAGCGGGATTCATCTGAAAAAGCTACTGAATTCCACTCAAGATCCCAGCCTAAACGTTCGCGACACCATTCCAAGCGTTGACGGCGATGTTCTGGAGTTAGCGGTAGTACCAAATGGGGACTATAGGAACGTAGTCCAAAACACTGACGTCGGGTGTAAATTGTTCTCATCGCAATCGGCCGACCAACCGCCGCATGCCAGTCATCTGCTATGCTACGTCTAGACACATGTCGGTTTCTTACTGCCAATGTTCGTAGGTGCCGATCTTCACGTGGATTCGTGCTCCTCCTGTGTCCAGAACCTCTAGCTCGGTGACCTCTACCTTCCTCGTGCCAAGCTCGCCAGCATCGCAATACAGTTGCAGCATTTCGATCCACGCGAGCAGCGATTTTCCGAAACGACAACCCTGCTTCGCGAAGCCCCAAAATGCGACCTCGCTTTAAAAGACTTGTTGAAAATTTCGACGTCTACGCACACGAGACATTGTGGTAGTACTGATATTGTCAGATAGCACAATAAAACACAAACCCCCCATGGTTAGCAGTAATGCAAAGAAATTATCAGTGGCAGAGAACAATAACAAAGAAAAATTTTTGTAAGCTTCGGTTTTCGGTAAAATCTGTTGTAACTTTTATCAGTACATTATCAAACATAGATAAATATTTCCACAAAGTTTCATTAATAAAAAACCGCCAGTTCTGGGTTTTGCGATTTTTTCGGCCAGTAGTATATATGGTTATTTACATAAGCTACAATAAAGATATACATATTTGTTTATTATTACAACTATTCTACTACTTATTTATAATACTACTAACCTGACCGCAAGTGAAATCCGAACACCCACAAAATAGGAATTTTTATTAACAAAATTTTGTAGAAAAGGAGAATAATACTTAATTAAGGTAAAATATACAAAAACCATCTAAAACAAAACATAACTTTGAAAAAAACTAATAATGTGTGGGACCGCCACGTAGACGAATGCACTCCTGCAGTCGACGAGGGATGCTATCCATTTGGATGTTGATGTACTCTAGAGGTACAGCATCCCAAGGATCTTCAACTGCATGACTCAGTTCATCCAAAGTCGACGGGGGCTGTGGTAAATTTTGAATATGAATACCCATCCAATCCCACACTTTTTCAATGGGCGATAAATCCAGTGATCGAGGTGGCCAGGGTAAGGTGGGGATACGTTCCTCTTCTAAGAACCTCATAGAAGTTCGTGCAATATGAGGGCGGGCGTTATCTTGCTGAAAAACGCCTTCATTCATAAATTTTGCGCAATTGAATTCTGGCCTTAGGTTCCATTGGCATTGTTCCCAGTTGTTGAAATTTGAATGCCTGAAAAAACAAGAAGAATTACTATTCAATACAAAAAGAAAACATCCAACAAAAGAACCAACTATATTCTGTTTTTTTAACATGAGTAACTAAATCTGGTAACTTTAGTGACTTTTATGTTGTGTTACAAGCTTTCACGTTTCGAAATTTTCATATTGTGAGGGAGGACGGTAAACATGTAATAATAATAATAATAGTAATAAAAAAAAACATACCTGAGAGATGACGTTCTCCAGCACGGTTATCTTCGGTTATTTTGAGGCTTCGAGAAATTTTGCTTTTCATCAAAAATAATTAATTCAATAGAGGGGATAAATGTCAAATCAGTAGTTTATTATGTCCATATATGGACACTGAAAAGAATGAAACACTTCACGGTAGTGAAAAAAAAATTTCCATGAGAAATGTAATTCTGCAATTTTACCCACTTCCTCGGTATATGAGTGTTCAAGGTCATGAAAGAAACTATTTCCGCGAGAAATGTAATCCAGCAACTTTGATAGACATGTGCCTTTTCGCTATTTGAGAATTCGAGGTAATGAAAAAAATTATTTCCGTGAGAAATGCAATTCAGCAATTCTATAAAATTTTGCTTTCCAGCAATTCTATAAACACGTGCCTTTTCGGTAGGTGATTTTTCTGTAAACATGTGAGTTCAGTTCACACATCAGACATGGCCTCACTAAAGAACAAATGTTTCATTTCTCGTAGTCTGGATATATCTTCACTGAATGAATGAATTTTGATGTAAAAGCAAAATTTTTGGTTTGTATATCGTTCAAATGTATTCGTACATATATTTCAGGTTTTTTACAAATCTGAACAACACTTGGGGAAGGATAACAGAAACCCCCTCGCTTTTTTTTTTAGTTTCCTCTTCAGTACAGTCCGCTAGTTGTAGGTAAGCTATTATTTATTACTTTCTCGGGTTTTGTGATAGGATTGGTACTAGATGTGACCAAAATCGAAATCTGCTCCAAAGGTAAACAATTTCCCAAACCCCCTTCTCGTATTTCGGCTCGAACCAGCCATCTTTTATAGGACCGTGTAAATGGCCTACAAGTTGGGTTATTGTTCCAGCCACCCCGTGATCTTATTGAAGAAAAAAACAATCTAAGTGATCTTATACAAAGGGAGCTTCTGACTCAATTGAATCACATCGCTGGACAATGACACAGTCATACCAATGAACCCTGTTTTTCATCTAGAACCAATAACAAGTTCATTATTAATCAACTTTAATTTAGAAATATAATAAATTGTTGAATTCGACAGATTTTTCAAAATTTTTTGACAGTTTTCTTATGGCCTGGAAGAATTAAAGATCTGCTGTTAAGTATATTCTAATAAATTTGACTATAGCTCCACAGCCCTGGAACTCAGACAGACCTAATTTTTGTTCACAGTACATCAAGGTATCTGCTACGGATCTATTAAAAACTTGAACCGCTAATCTAACTTTCATTTTTTGTTTAAAAAATCGTATGTGTGCACGACGCAACTTGTTTGCTAGAGCTCGTGTAGTAATGAAACATATTTCCATTGAATACAATTGCCTTCATCATCTACTAGAGACTTATTCTCAGCTAATGCGTTACGTACAAGCTTAATGACATGACATGGATCAATAAAGAAATACATTTTTTGAGAAGCAACCAGAAATGAGGTACTAATGTTAGGGCAATGAAAGTTGCATCCAAGTTGTACCCTTTGTTACGTTTAAGGCCGCACCATCACAAGTTAAAATTTTTACTTGGGCACCGGTTTCGGCAATTAAAGATACAGCTTGTGAAATAATAGACGCTTTTTGAAGATCACGACCATTCTGTTTGGATATTTTCCTCAGAAGGTGGGTTGATTTGATAGAAATTTTAAAGTTTCCTCACTGAAAATAGTGTCCCCAACAGCTTTTAATTTTTCTTTCATTTACACGCAATGGTACTCAAAAACACTATAAAATGTGCTCTCTTCAAAATGTGAGTTATATTACTGTACGAAGAGGTTTGACTGAAACGCCAATAATTGTTAATATAACAAAAACAGTTTGTTAAAGATTCACACAAATTTGAACAAAGTACTATAACAACTCTGCATATTAAAAAATAAATTATAATTCAGTCAAAACAAAGACGATAAACATTACATAAACCTGTGTACATATACTGATTTGAATAAAAAGTGCAACACCTATTATTCGTCAAGGGATTTTGTTGAAATTTTCACAGAAGCTATAATGTAGTGCGACAAGAAAATGATTACAATTTGAAAAAGAAAGGGTAACAATTAACAAAGTTACTTAATAATGAGTTGCCCCACCGCGATTAATTATGCACTCATTTACTCGCCGAGGTACACTATCAATCAGATGATTAATATCGGCCTGAGGTAGATCATTCAAAGTATCCGGAGGATGGGGTAAATTACCC